TTTTTTTTTTTTTGCCGTATCTTTTCAATTTTGTGTTTCCCCACTTTTCCCTACTTTTTCCCATCTCTTCCCTTTTCCGCTACCTCACTACCACAATCCTACCCTCATTTACTAGTCCCTTCTAGCTCATCTAACACTACTTTTTCCACTCCTTAATTTCTTTACATCTCTTCCTTTCCTTCTGTGTTCCAGTATACTCCAAATCCATGTGTTTCTTGGACCTTTTTCCCCATCTCTTTGCTATCCTTTTTTTTCCATTCTTTTTCTGTACTATTTCTGCTGAAGATCAAATTCAGGTACAATTGATGACAATTGTATTTTGATTAATTTGTTTTGTACAATAATTCTTTTCAGCTATCTGCACAGGATATTATGTTACAAGTGGCTCGTAGGCGACCACTTACGCTAAGTGTGGCCGCGGGCAACAGAACAAGGCGTCAGGCAGGATCGCAATGCAATGGTTAGCAGTTTTGTGAAAAAAATTTTTTAACTCCGCCTTCCTATTTCCTCCATTCTCTGCAAATTAAAAATAATGAAATAAATAAGTAAGGATACAAATAGTGAACTATGAATTAATAATTGTTGTGTCCTAATTTCAAATAAAGCAATTATTCCTGAAAATTTTTGTTGCAGGGTAATAATTTATTGCATTGCTCATGTGCACAACGACAGTAGACACTGTTTTACTGTATATAATAGATGTTTCTTAAACCATTGTAACATTTAGGCTGTTGTAAGCCTGGCCATCCAGGTAGACCAGGACTTCCTGGCGCTAACGGCAAACCAGGAATACCAGGAGCTCCAGGACGACCAGGTATTATTAGTTCTTATTTTTGGACTATGAAAAACAAATTTTTTTTTAGTTATTTTTGGCCTCCTCCGCATTGTTGTTGAGAAAAGAATCAGTTGAATTATGTGTTTTACGCGATTATGAATATTGTTCAGGTGTTCCTGGTAGGCCACCAGTTGTGTGTGAAGAACAGGATATTCCTCCATGTAACCCGTGCCCGCCTGGAGCTCCAGGACCTGTTGGTCCTCCCGGTAACTCTGGCAATCCAGGAAGGCCAGGACCTCCTGGAAGACCAGGAAATCTTGGTTGGTTTATTCTTATTTTCAGAGTAATAATAATTAATTGACAGTTAGGATTTTTGGAATTATTATAAACAACCAAAAGTTTTGACTGTTTGCAAACTTATAGGCGCCCCAGGCTTACCTGGTCCAGCTGGACCCCCAGGACCACCAGGATCGGATGGAAATGATGGTGAACGTGGAGAACCTGGCAGGCCTGCACAAAGTATACCCTCAATACCAGGAGAAGTAGGGAAGCCTGGAGAACCTGGTAAATGCTTACACGTTTTTAAGTGTATATTGTTGTCTTTGAAATTTGTTTTTTCGTCTGGCGTAATCTTTCAAAAGCAGCAATTAAGCAAGTTTTTTTTAGGACCACCAGGTCCTCCTGGTCCTGCTGGGCATCCTGGCCGTGACGGACAACCAGGCAACCCTGGCCCAATTGGCCCACCGGGTCCAGTTGGTCAACAAGGTGCACCTGGAGAACAAGGTGAAGCTGGAACTCCCGGCCAACCTGGTCCTCAAGGCGAGCGTGGAATTTGTCCAAAATACTGTGCTTTGGATGGTGGTGTATTCTTTGAAGATGGTACACGGCGTTAAATTCAATTTTTAGGAAAATTAAAATGGAAATCTAGATTGTCTTATTTGTAAATGTTCCATATTGCGACGACGTTAGTAAGACAAATTCTAACCAACTTTTTTCTGATGAACGTATTCTGCTGTACAAGAAAATGCGATGTACATTAATGACTGAGAATGACTGATATCATCGCACTTTTGTTAATAAAAGTGCTCAGCGGAATTTACGCTTATGGCATGCTTGTTTCTTTCACACTTTCTCTTTGATCTTCTTTTCTAAAAAAGCAATGAAAAATTGCAAAAATAAAAGGATGGGCATTCAAGGAGAAATTTCCGCTTGGAACTTAATTGTAGGGTGGAAAGAAAGTGCTCTTCAACGGCAGTGATCTATTGTATAAAAATGGGTAATCTAAAAAGCTAGATTTTGTTTGGTTCTCGACTGTTACTGTGTAATAAAAAAGTGTATTTGAATGAGATTCGATGATAATAAAAAAATTCATAACTTAGGTAAATACGGTAGTTTTTTTTGCACAGTCAATAATGTAATCAAAACAGTATATGACAGGATTACCTGGATGATCAGTTAAGGTTTAGATGAAATCAATATAGAAAAGATGAAGTAAAATAAAACAAAATGTTACAGTCCTGAATGGTATTTTTTTAAAAACCGCAAATTTTGTTTTGCAAAAAAAAAAAAAAAGCCGAGAATTGCAAAAACAAAATATGACTATTGGGAAAAATTGTTTGAACATCACTGTATCGATGGCTCATGCGTTTGTCCGGTTCTTTCGTATTACTCTTAGCAGTATTGCTGTTTGACCTGCTCTGCAATTTTCAATCTAATTTGTTTTTTTCCTTTTTTCTTTTCTTTTTTTTTTTTGATACATCTAATATAGGATGAGTTTTTTTACAGTATAGCTGTTAACATTATTCTCTGTAGTGGATGACCGCAGCATAGCAAAATAGCTTTAAGTACAACAGTTACGGTTCATAGTTTCATTTAACAATAATAAGACACACTTCGCTGATTAATAACTGCCGGCGACTGATGCGTAATTGATAGCGGTGACAGTGCTGCTGGTGCTGATAGCGGTGTATCGGCGAAGGAGAAAGTTTACATACGTATATGTATGTTTATAGACATTCTAATAATCAGTTTATGAATTTTCTAGAAATATTTTATTTTGTATTTTTTTTTTTTGCTACTATATACCAGTTTGTTGTAATCTGTTGAAACTCACAACTGTAGTTGTAAATTGATAAAATGAAACTGGGAAAAATTGAAGTTATATACGTATAATATAAGCTGTACAGAATAAAACAGAATCAAATTTAAACTGACAAAGATTTAG